CTCATAGTTCCAAAAGCAGCTTTAGCTTTGTTCAGGCGTGACTGTATGTCTTCCTCTGTCCCTCCCAGTAGGGACACCACACTACCAAGATATGTGAAATGTTCTACATTTTCAAGTGATTGGGTACTTATGGTCACTAGTTGTTGGTTTGGACTGTTTGTCATGATCTTTGTTTTCTCGGTATTTATTCTCAGTCCCACCATTTCTGCTGTGCTGTGTAGTCTGTTACTTTTCTCTTGTATATGTTCATGTTTATGTGATAGCAGTGCTATATCATCTGCAAAATCAAGGTCCTCAAGCATGGTGAATGGAGTCCACCGTATGCCTTTCAATGTCTTGTCTACTGTGTTTTTTAGTATCCAATCAATCACAAGGTTGAAGAGGAGAGATGACATGACACATACCTGTTGTACACGTGTATTGTAATTTTTTTAAATACTTTATAGAAGAGAGCAATTATGCTGACTACCTTTTCTGGAATTCTATAATGTATAATTTTCCAGAGACTGTCTCTATGGACGCTGTCAAAAGATTTCTGAAAGTCCACAAAATTAATATATATACTTCTCTGCCATTCATTGCATTGTTCTAAAATGTTACGTAGAGTGAAGATGTGCTCAGTTGTTCGTATGCCCATTCTGAATCCTGCTTGTTCCACTCGTAGGCATTTATCTACTCCTTTTTCAAACCGCATTATGATGATTTTACAAAATACTTTGCTTGGTACTGAGAGTAGAGTAATTCCCCTCCAATTATTGCAGTCTGTTAAATCTCCTTTTTTGGGGGATTTGGACTATTGTTCCTTCAGTCCAGTCATCAGGCAACACTTCATTTTCTCAAATATCCTTGCACAATGGTTCTAGAATGTTAGCAGTTGTGTTAGGATCTACTTTGGGAAGTTCTGCTGGCAGTTCGTCTTTGCCTGGTACTTTGTTGTGAGGATAGCTTCAAGGATTTCTTGTTTGCTGGTGGTTTAGTAATAATGTCAAAGTCCTGAGAGGCTGGTTGAATATCTGGGGGATTTTCAAGATCAGGTCCGTTCAAGAGGTTAGAGAAGTGTTTAGTTCACTGCATGTCTTGATTTTGTTCTGTGGTGAGCAGTCTGCCTTGGTTATCTCTGATTGGTATGCTCTGATAATGGTTTCTGCTTCCGCAGATTTGTTGGGTAATTTTGTGTAGGGTTTGTAGATCATGTGCTTTAGCAGCAATTTCTGCTGTTTCTGTTAGATTTTCTATAAATCTTCTTTTCTCAGTTCTGGCGCTTTCCTTTACCATTTTATTTAGTTCGCTATATTCTAACATCAATTTTTCTTTCTGACGTTCTGATTTAGTGTGATTTATGAGGTTCTTTATTCTTTTTCGCTTGGTAATATGCTCCATGGTTTGACTGCTTATCCATTCTTTGTGGTGTTTTTTTCCTGGTTCCTAATATATTGTTGCTGGTGTTTTGTATGTTTCTTTGATCTGGTTCCATCTGTCTTGAATGCTGAGTGTAGTTAGATTGTCTGGGTCACCTAATAGAGTTTGAAATCTATTCTTGAGTTCTACTATAAATTTAGTGGCAATGTCTTTTTCTCTTAATAGGTTGACATTGTAGGGTGCTGTCTGTGTCTTAGCTTGTGTGTGAAATTTTTGGAGTTTAAGTCGTAGTAGAGTAACTACAAGGTGATGATCGCTTCCCATATCTGCTCCACTTTTGACACGCACATCGATTAGGGTTTACCATGAAATGGTCGATCTGGTTTATCTGGTGATTACCGGGGTAAAAATTGTTGCCTAAAGTATAACATGCTTGTATCTTAACAAATTCAATTATTGAATCAACAAAGCACAAATGGTGAAAGTGAACGTGGTATACAATTGTGTAACTCAGTAAAGAGTTGAGGACTCTTCTCCTCCCCTTCAGGCAAAATGTGCACTCGGCGGATATTTTCAGCATCACGACTGACGCATTTACTTCCCCGGACTTTATCCTGTTGCTATTTAAGAGTGGGTCGATCTGGTAGCCAAGGTCACATGAAAACAAATATCCCTGTTGCATTCAGATTTGAAACGACGACGTTTAGATCAGCGGGCCAGCTTCTAGCGCTGCGAAGTCAGCAGCAGTCAATATTGACTTGACTTCATGTTACCCGGAGAACACATAACATTGAGCAAACGCGTCAAGAGAATTTCAGTGATAACTGTGGTTCAGAGAGAGGTATACTCCCTTCTGGGTTCAGGACCTCCATTTTCTGAAGAGTTAGAGGAAACAGACCCACTGCCTCCCAAACAAGCATGTAGTAAGAGTCAGAGTTGTAAGACTAAGCATGAAGTAAGAATCAGAGTGGTAAGAGTAAGCATGAAGTGAGAGTCAGAGTGGTAAGAGTAAGCATGAAGTAAGAGTCAGAGTGGTAAGAGTAAGCATGAAGTAAAAGTCAGAGTGGTAAGAGTAAGCATGAAGTAAGAGTCAGAGTGGTAAGAGTAAGCATGAAGTAAGAGTCAGAGTGGTAAGAGTAAGCATGAAGTAAGAGTCAGAGTGGTAAGAGTAAGCATGAAGTAAAAGTCAGAGTGGTAAGAGTAAGCATGAATTAAAAGTCAGAGTGGTAAGAGTAAGCATGAAGTAAGAGTCAGAGTGGTAAGAGTAAGCATGAAGTAAGAGTCAGAGTGGTAAGAGTAAGCATGAAGTAAGAGTCAGAGTGGTAAGAGTAAGCATGAAGTAAAAGTCAGAGTGGTAAGAGTAAGCATGAATTAAAAGTCAGAGTGGTAAGAGTAAGCATGAAGTAAGAGTCAGAGTGGTAAGAGAAAGCATGAAGTAAGAGTCAGAGTGGTAAGAGTAAGCATGAATTAAAAGTCAGAGTGGTAAGAGTAAGCATGAAGTAAGAGTCAGAGTGGTAAGAGTAAGCATGAAGTAAGAGTCAGAGTGGTAAGAGTAAGCATGAAGTAAGAGTCAGAGTGGTAAGTGTAAGCATGAAGTAAGAGTCAGAGTGGTAAGAGTAAGCATGAAGTAAGAGTCAGAGTGGTAAGAGTAAGCATGAAGTAAGAGTCAGAGTGGTAAGTGTAAGCATGAATTAGGAGTCAGAGTGGTAAGAGTAAGCATGAAGTAAAAGTCATAGTGGTAAGAGTAAGCATTAAGTAAGAGTCAGAGTGGTAAGTGTAAGCATGAAGAAAGAGTCAGAGTGGTAAGAGTAAGCATGAAGAAAGAGTCAGAGTGGTAAGAGTAAGCATGAAGAAAGAGTCAGAGTGGTAAGAGTAAGCTTGAAGTAGGAGTAAGACGAACTAATTAGGGAAGCTTCATTTGAAGCCGGAATGCATCAACTTGAGAGGCAAGAAAATCAAGGGTCTGTGTCAAAGTGACATCTGTAAAATGGTTCCACACTTAAAATACATTTTCTTTAACAAGACCAAAGTCCAGAAGCGGACGAACAATCAAAGCATTCTACCAGAACTTACAGCCGGGTCAGTGCCTGTTTGCCAATTTTCTGCTGGCTTATTCTCAGGCTGTGTCCAACATAGCGCCATCATCTCTGTCTTATCTTTGTTGTTACTAATGGTTGTTAAGACGCTGCTCAATCACAAACATAACACATACACGCAGACCGAAATTACACAGATATACATACTCACAGACATAACGCTTAAAAAGACACAACACAGATAGTCGCAACACAACAGATTGTTGATTTTGGTTTGTTTGGCCGATAACTTAATTTAGTCTTGTTTAAGAAAGCGGAAAAGTCTGGCCACTGTGTATAAAAAGGCCAGCTCACTTGCTATCTGGGTCTTGTTGACTCCAGACAGACCATGTAAGAGACCTACCCAGCTGTTGTGGCTCTGCACATTGGGCTAGCCAGCATGGGTATAGGCGACTGCAGGGGAAGGCCGTTTGTCAGGCTGATTTCGCGGCGGTAGTATGTTTCCTTAGTTATTTCTAAAATTGTCTCTAGTTGTTAAACTGTGTAGAGGTATGGCGGTGTGTATTCTTGCCAGGATGACAGGTCGCTATAAGTGATTTGTTGGTTTGGTGGCATATTGAAGCGTAACGTACGTGTTAAATATGTTTCAGTTTTTGCCATTGTTGAGGTAATCTTGCTGGGCGTATAGTGTCATTATCATATTTCCTTGTTAGCTAGAGATGATTAGCACTTTAGATTCTGTTTCTGTTAATGTTGTTATTTGTGAACCACGCTGATTTTATGTTAAGAGAAATAAGCAGATGTTCAATGTGGTAATCATAGTTCCGCTGTTTTTGTTTCAGATTAGGACTTGTGGTTAGTGTGCCTAGTTTTTTTTTTGTTGCTTGACTTTCACACAGAAGATCTCATATCTGGAGTAGAAAATTTCTGTTTCTTCAGCCTAACGAAAACTTTTTCTTTATTTTTTCCCCCTTGGTGAGTGTTGTCGCTTTTAGTACAAAAGCCACAATATACATTGATACAACACACATACACACCATACACTAGTATCAAACAAACAGGAACACAGTACACACACACAGCGACACAATACAAGACATACAATGTGAACAAACCATGTTGAAAAAGCCCTGGATCCGCCTGCTCCATAGTGCTTTTATATTCTAAACGTAAAATGTGAAAAGTCTGTTCTATCAACAGGATCCACTAAATACAATGCCTAGTGAAAACAGCTGGTTTTCTTTATCAGCTTTCTCAGTATGATAAATTAATCTTGATAATGGATTTTAAACAGGCTATCATTTAGTACCATCCCCTATGCTGTTTATATTAGCAATGTTTTATGTATTCACCTTTTACTCTGTTCGATAATGCATTCATGTCCTGCTCTGTTTCAGGATATGTATCGTCGGGATAATTGATGTATTATTATGAATACACGACTTTGTGTTTTACAACAAATAGAGCCAACAAAAGAAAAGAAATATTCTGAAAATCTTAACAATAATTTTTTTTATTACGATTACAGAATAGATGAAACTGGAGGAAACCCGTTTCTGCTAAATAAAAAGACGCTGCAAACTCCGGCTGTACATTGACTCCATATTAAGAATTTGCACTGAAACCATGAATGAAAAACGTTGCATATTATTTCATGACTTCAACTTAAATGGGGAAGGATGACAATAACAACTGTAGCACCAGTTTAGGGTTCGGTACCAGCAAAGAAATACAAGTTAAAATAGTGAGAGTATGTTTCTTCTGTGTAGCAGCATACGGATGTAGGTCGTGAACTTTTTCCCAGTACTTACAGGAAGAAAACTGGGGCTTTTGAGCTGAAATCCTATAGAAAGATTTTCAGAAAACCAAGGACACAGAAGAAGAGAAATACTGGCATTCAATGAAATCTTAGCATCAAGGAGGATTGGCTAATAAACAGCATCTCATCTCGGAAGCTGACATATGTTGGCCACATCAGGCGCCATGACGAATTGTTAAAAAAAAAAAAATAATAATCATAATAGCAGAAGGCATGGTGCCACAAAAAAGAGGTAGGGCCTACCAACATAAAGGTGGGTACAGGATATATGTGACTTCTCATATATGAAAGTTCACAAGGCGAGAGAGCTGGCGAGAGACCGAGTATCTTTAAGACAGACCGTGATGAGAGCGACGTTCTGCAGAGGCCCTGTTTCATGACGGTAATGATGACGTCAAACAGCTCTTTGAATAACTGGGTGTCGTTTAGTATTGCAAGGCCGTTTTTGAGAATTTCTCATAAAGCGCCCTGTCTCCATCTTTAGCTACAATTGCTGGATTTCAATTCAGGTTTGATTTGATTTGTTTCAAGAACCGACATCACAGCACTCGGGGCATTCCCAAAACCGCTCCGTCACCATTTTCAGCAGCGAACTAAAAGTTACGATACTAATGGTGCCAGGAGCATTCTGATTAAACGTCTGTCTTGCCTTTCCTCTAAGCCTCAAGCATCTGCCAGAAACTCTTATCACTCCCCACAAGGCACTAAACACGTCTGCCTTATCATGTATCAATATTCCACCAAGTGGTGCAGAGCCAGACAATCTGTCCACCTGTTCATTTTCCAACACACTGGAAGGTCTCAGTGAAAAAAATCCAGACAATACTCCTCATCCGTGTCCTCCCCAGCGAAGCATGTCACTCTGCACCAAGCATGCCTGTCCTGATTTTCCTCAGCATGCTTTCTGAGTCAGTTCCAATCACGATGTCTGTGTGTGTGTCGTGTTCTCTAGCCAGCGGAAAGCTGCAGTGACTGCCTCAACCTCCATTCTTGAGCTGGATGTTGTGAAATCAAATGCTAGGGTCTCCTGCACCAAACTTCGACCATTAACTTTTGCTTAGACGCCCCAAGCATGTCTTTTACCTCTTGACAGTGAACCGTCTGGGTAATCTGACACTTAGAGATGGTAAGTATTCCCATGCCATAATCAACCACTGACAGGATCAGGTGCTGAAATAGTGTGAAAAGCATTGTCTGCTCTGTGTCAAGTGCAGCCATAGTCTTAAGTGCACTAAGTCCTTTTTGTCATCTCGTCACAACACTCTCCACTTGGTCTTTAAAAGGACAGGCTCCTGTCAAATGTAATTCCCAAAAGCTTTAGTTTGCTCTCTCTGTTGACGTTTCTACCATCTATCGTAGGTTTAACGATTCTTTTGTCTAGATAACACCCCAGAACAGACACCACTACTGTCTACTGTCGCTTGTAGCTTCCGGGCTGCTTGTTCCCTCTCTTCCTCCTGCCTGCCTATATGCAAGTATCTAATCTGCAAAAGGCAGTATTCTTCCAACTCCTAGTGCTTCTAGGCTTGCAATCGTGCTCGTATACAGGGTAAAGAGGACAGGCGAGATGGCTGATCCATGTGGCAGTCCTGGGGCCAAACTGCATGGTTCTGAGGTCCATGAGCCCAGTTGGATAGCAACCCGACGTGAACACAGCACAGCTGCAACCCAATTCACCAGCCATGGACTGACCTCCTTCTCATTTAGTGCAGTCATCAAGATATCATATCTCACTGTTATAAGCATCCTCGAGATACAGTGCTACAGCCATAGTTTCCTGTCTGTTCTGGAACCCTTCATATACGTCAAAAGAAAAAGTGGCCGCTTTTGCCCATGCATCTCGCCCCTCTCCTAAATCTTAAGAGTCTGCCAGACCTCATGGTCACTCCTTGCTGCATCATCCTCTTCAGACCTTGGTGATCTGTCTGTGTCTCGGCACTGCTTACTTGCTCCCAAAGGGACTTTGCAACATCAAATATGCCATGCATGAATCTACTAACTAACAGTGCAGAGCAAACCAGTTTGTCTATTCATTTCCTGACACAGCATAATGATCTGCAGTATTCAGTATTTTGCCATTGTTTTCAAATTGCTGAGACTATCATGCCACTACGAAAATCCTGTCAAAATGGTATGCTACCAAATCATCTGAAACTGACTTCAGACCATATCTGTCTGCCGTTTAGTCTGTCTATTTATATACGTGTATGTATGCCTGTTTATCTAGATAATATAATACAATTATCGGTCTGTAGAACTGTTTGATGGCTGTCTGCCTATTCCATTTTAATTTCCTTCATCCACTGGTCCATCAATCCATCTGTCCTCCATGTCTGTCTTGTGCTTTGTACAAGCAGTTACTTAAAACTTCCACAGGCAACACTGATAAAGTCGAAATCACCCATTCAAGAACGACACACACAGACACACACACAGACACCCACACACACACGCGCGCACATACACACTCACAATACAAATACATATGTAAATGTACATAGGTTGGTTTACCTCTTTTCACAAACGAATGGGTGTCTATTCCCGCAAGCTTCATCATTCCACTTGTAGTGAGAAAATTTCGAGATAGATAGACAACCTTCTTTGCCCTCAGCTGGAAGGTAAAAAATGTATATGCCCGTCACATACAGGACATAACTATCTCGTAACATTATTATTATTATAAATTATCTTAATTTATCAGAAAACCATAGGATTAATTGTCTGATAGAGTTCTGAAAACTGGAGAAGTACTTAGAGACAAGGCTTTATTAAAACTGTGAGAACAGAGTCTTATGACAAATCGTTGTACCCATAAAAAATTCAGACAAAGAAGAATAGAGAGTGAATGGCTACACTGACATTCGTCCTCTTCTCCTTTTTGATTGGGTTTATATGCCGCTGTTGTCAATTGTATTTTCTCCACCAACCAAAGTCTTCAATGGTTCTCTAAATGTTGTCTTGGAACCTTTCCATTTGGCCATGCATTTTCTCGCAGGTTTTCCAGTGGTGCTAAACCTGCACTTTGCGCGCGGATCCTCCGAGTGCGGGTTGGCACTAATACAGGGTAGAGTAGTCTGAAGTGTCCTGAGCTTGTCTAAAATAGGGGACAACCTCTTTAAATAAAACGGCAATCGGTGGGTGATGTGGTCAGCGTCATGCCGAACACCTTTGCTTCCCAGGCCTTTACCTGGTACCACTTTAGGGCTAGATTCATATGTGAGCTACATTCACTTAAACTTCCAGCTATCTCAGGACCTGAACAAACGATCTTGCGAACCGCAGACGAGAGACCAGCCGTGCGACCTAGGGACAATAGTCTATCCGCTACAAACGAGAGTCTAACCGCTACATACGAGAGTCTAACCGCTACAGACAAAAGTCTAACCGCTACAGACAAGAGTCTATCCGCTACCAACGAGAGTCTAACCGCTACAGACAAGAGTCTAACCGCTACATACGAGAGTCTAGCCGCTACAGACGAGAGTCTAGCCGCTACAGACGAGAGTCTAACCGCTACATACGAGAGTCTAACAGCTACAGACGAGAGTCTAACCGCTACAGACGACAGTCTAACCGCTACAGACGAGAGTCTAACCGCTACAGACGAGAGTCTAACCGCTACAGACGGGAATCTAACCGCTACAGACGAGAGTCTAACCGCTACATATGACAGTCTAACCGCTTCAGACGAGGGTCTAACCGCTACAGACGAGGGTCTAACCGCTAAAGACGAGAGTCTAACCGCTAAAGACGAGAGTCTAACCGCTACAGACGAGAGCCTAGCCGCTATAGACGACAGTCTAACCGCTATAGACAACAGTCTAACCGCTACAGACGACAGTCTAATCGCTTCAGACGAGAGTCTAGCTGCTACAGACGAGAGTCTAGCTGCTACAGACGAGAGTCTAGCTGCTACAGACGAGAGTCTAGCTGCTACAGACGAGAGTCTAGCTGCTACATACGAAACCCTGCATTGGCACACACACTAGCACTTTAGTAATCGTGTTTCGTGTTTGTTCTGGGGTCCAAATGTTTGCGGAAGAAAGAATTGGTTCACTATTGTCTTAACACAATGTCGTCAAAAGTTACTAATTAGCGGCTGTTCAGTGGAAATCGGAATGCATCCGCCGGAGAAGCAAGAAACTTAAACTTTACACACAAACAAGTCAGATGTATTAAACTAGCGTACGGGCAAAACGCAAGTTCTGGAAAGAGACCAACGTCTAGAAGTGGACGAACATGCAGAACTATCAGCCAATGTCTACGCCAGTGAGAAAACGGAGACGAAGCACTTGTTAGAATGACACACCTTAGCATTATTAGCCTGTTTCAGTTAACACAGTTTCATCAAATAATTCTGTACGTAACCTCATGTGACCATAACCTTTCCACCTCTTGTCTATGTCATCTTTCTATAGTAGGTTCCAACAGTAATGAATAATTTTAAAAATGTGTAACACAGTATTCGGCTGGTGTAGTTTATTGAAACTGGGCGTGCAACACGCTAAGAACCATGTCCTGTTAGGAAAATAATTATAATGTAAACAAAAGATATTTGTGTCAAATGAAAAGGCCACATCATACAATTAGCATGTTTACAGTAAATGGTTTGAGGTGAAGTTGGCAAAACACCAGACTGCATGGGCTTTGGGGATAACCAGAAGGAGAATAGTGTTGTGGATGCGTCTGTACTGGACAATGCTTGTTGATTTGTCAACAACAGCAACAACAACAACAACAACAACAACAGCAACAACAACAACAAAAGAACAGGAGTTGAGTCAAGTATCGTTTTTTTTTTTTTCTTAAGGGGTGCACGAATTAGTCTGAAACATCAAATACGTTCTCTGCTGTAAGACAAAAACATTACATGCGGAACTGTAAATTACGCAGTCACAAAGAAACGGGAAGTCTAAGACCGCCTGCAAACATTTATGTTGTTCAGTACACGAGGTTTTTTACGTGAATTTTTGAGAAATTTGTTTAAATTATGATTTCAGGAACGATCTATAGGTCTCGTCTGTTTTAACGCTCGGCTGTGATGATAGACAGCTGTTAGGCCCACCGGCACTTAATCACGTCATGTTTGAGCCGGAGTATAAATGGGAGGGGGGGGGGGGAGGTAATAGCCCCTATCTTGGGAAAAAACGTACTTAGAATCCAACAGTTTTAGAAAAAAAACATATGTATTAAACAACAGATGATAGATGCATAACGTTTATTTTTATTTAGAGGTACAGATGTAGCTTATTTACTTTAAACATGTTTTTACATATTTTTCGTAGTATTTTAAAATGTAGGTTTATTGAAAAAGTCAACAACAAAAAAATCTTGCATCATTAGACAATAATCACATTTTAAAAAACACAAACTTTCTAAATACTAATTTTATTTAGACCAGTCCCTATAATATTGTTTAAGAAGTATCCGTACCAAATTTCATGTTTCTAGTCTTTATATTAAATGAGATTGTAGGATTTCACAAACACAATAAACAAAAATATAGAGATGTGAGAAAACTGACTTTTAAACTTTTACATCTTAAAACTGTGCATGGGTTGGTGTCTTCAGTATTAAATTTTCAATGCTAAATTGTTTACAAATGACATACATTTTGTGTCTAATCTATTCTACGAATGCCGAACTTTACAAAAACGAACATATAAGAGGAAAACAGAGCAAGCAGCACTGACGGATTTTTCAACATTATCCTGAATCCAAACAGTTCTAATGAAGTTTTATGTTGTTTAACATTATCAATGCTATATAGAAGAAAGGGAGTGGACCATCTAAAAATCATTTCGTATTAAGCTACTAATTAGCAATTTCCCGAAATAAGATATTTTGGGCTAAAATATGCACATATCGCTGTCTAACCAAATATTATGCCAACCACACATTTCAAGAAGGGTACAATAGATTAAATCAGCTGTGTTGCTGTAATCTGATGAAAGTTTTTCAGCCGTAATGTTTAAGCCACATTTCGTGTTTGTGTTTTATTTGGAAGTTAAGTTAACTTGCTCCTCATATTGTCGGGGCTAATTAATTTCTTTTCCACGGATCAACATTACGCGTCTTGAAAATAATTGCAGCCTAGTATGATTAAATTTAAACTCTCTCTTTATCTCTCTCTCTATCTCTCTGTCTCTCTCTCTCTCCCTCTCCTTCTCTCTCTCTCTATCTCTTTCTCTAACACACAAACATACACATAAATGCACACATACACATAAACGCACACATACACACATTTATAAGGTGAATATAGCATTTAATTTACAGCCATCGAAGGAAAGGAGATGCAATGAAAGATTGCAACATTTATACACTAAACATAGGGTGATAACACATTTCGAATGAACAAATCTATTTTCTTCGCATGTTATTGCCAACATTAAACTGACCGCCTTAACTTCCTTTGATATTTCATTGTATGGGGGATATTTTCACCCTGATTAGGAAGGTTGGGGGGAAAGCCCAAGGTTAACAAGAATACCGAGAGAAGCCAGATACTCGGAGTAAACGAGGCTTTCAAGATAGATTACGACCACGAGTTACCCGATGATAGCGACCACAGGTCGCCACGTGAAACCACAAAACAACCACGTGTTGCCACGTCGAACGAACACTGGGTATTAGCCCAGACCACAGTTAGTATGAGTTAGTATGTGTTGACTGTCGGAGTGAAAGGATGGGAGAGTGATCGAGAGAATGACAAGGTGAGACTGATTGCTGCGAGAGGAATATCAGACAACGACATCCATTGAAGCCAAGACCAGCCAGGCCAGTCTGTGTGAAGATGAGAATACCCAGATCCATTTGTGCGAGCTCTGGTCCATGATTATGTGAGAAACCAGCATGTTGGAGTCTGATTGATGTGGTGCGTGCAAGCTGTAAACTAGGACACGAACAGGACGTTTATGTAAGTGATAAGATGTCAATAAACTTATGTATCGTACTGCTAAGTCGGTGTCGCCTTGTCCCAGTTATGTTATCGTAAGAATGTGTGCTAAGAGCCTTCACTAGAGTCATCATCTCCTAGACAACGAGTCATTGCAAGTAGAAGACAGCCCATTGCATTATACATCTTTAGGCTGGTTCGATCAGGGAAACAAGTTTTTTTTTTTTAATCAACAAAATGTCCGCCTTAAAGTAGATTTGAAGAAACAAATTAAATCAGAAGTGAACTTACCGTTGTCTGGTTGTCCCTGTGACCAGTTTGTGTATTCCTTAATCCTGATAAAGCTTGGCATCCACTGCCAATGGGCTGTTGCAAAACCACCAGTCCAAACAGTATCCACTGCAGAAATTCCAATATTTATGTGTCAGTAAACACACACACACACACACACACACACACACATATATATATATATATATATATATATATATATATATATATATATATATATATATATATATATATATATATATATATATATATATATATATAAAAGCTAATATACTCTGTGACGATATTCAGTAAGGTTTTGGGTTGGAATCTGCACCAGAGAGATTCGAATACAAATTGACCTAGGCTGTTAGATCGACTCAGATTTACATGGACACCAGGACAATGTCCTCGGAACTCCAGGTGGGCGACATGATGTTAGTCAGACCACCCATGTATGTTAGTCAGACCACCCATGTATGTTAGTCAGACCACCCATGTATGTTAGTCAGACCACCCATGTATGTTAGTCAGACCACCCATGTATGTTAGTCAGACCACCCATGTTTGTTAGTCAGACCACCCATGTATGTTAGTCAAAACACCCATGTATGTTAGTCAAACCACCCATTAATGTTAGTCAGACCACCCATGAATGTTAGACCACCCATGAATGTTAGTCAGACCACCCATGTATGTTAGTCAAACCACCCATGTATGTTAGTCAAACCACCCATGAATGTTAGTCAGACCACCCATGTATGTTAGTCAGACCACCCATGTATGTTAGTCAGACCACCCATGTATGTTAGTCAAACCACCTATGTATGTTAGTCGGACCACCCATGTATGTTAGTCAGACCACCCATGTAGGTTAGTCAGACCACCCATGTATGTTAGTCAAACCACCCATGTATGTTAGTCAGACCACCCATGTATGTTAGTCAAACCACCCATGTATGTTAGTCAGACCACCCGTGTATGTTAGTCAGACCACCCATGTAGGTTAGTCAAACCACCCATGTAGGTTAGTCAGCCCACCCATGTAGGTTAGTCAGACCACCCATGTAGGTTAGTCAGACCACCCATGTAGGTTAATCAGCCCACACATGTAGGTTAGTCAGACCACCCATGTATGTTAGTCAGACCACCCATGTATGTTAGTCAGACCACCCATGTATGTTAGTCAGACCACCCATGTAGGTTAGTCAGCCCACCCATGTAGGTTAGTCAGACCACCCATGAAGGTTAGTCAGACCACCCATGTAGGTTAGTCAGACCACCCATGTAGGTTAGTCAGACCACCCATGTAGGTTAGTCAGACCACCCATGTAGGTTAGTCAGACCACCCATGTAGGTTAGTCAGCCCACCCATGTAGGTTAGTCAGACCACCCATGTAGGTTAGTCAGACCACCCATGTAGGTTAGTCAGACCACCCATGTAGGTTAGTCAGACCACCCATGTAGGTTAGTCAGACCACCCGTGTATGTTAGTCAGACCACCCATGTAGGTTAGTCAGACCACCCATGTAGGTCAGTCAGACCACCCATGTAGGTTAGTCAGACCACCCATGTAGGTTAGTCAGACCACCCATGTAGGTTAGTCAGACCACCCATGTAGGTTAGTCAGACCACCCATGTAGGTCAGTCAGACCACCCATGTAGGTTAGTCAGACCTCGCATGTAGGTTGGTCAGACCTCGCATGTAGGTTGGTCAGACCACCCATGTATGTTAGTCAAACCACCCATGTATGTTAGTCAGACCACCCATGTAATTTAGTCAGACCACCCATGTATGTTAGTCAGACCACCCATGTATTTTAGCCAGACAACCCATCTATGTTAGTGAGACCACCCATGTATGTTAGTCAGACAACCCATATATTTTAGCCAGACAACCCATTTATGTTAGTCAGACAACCCATGTATGTTACTCAGACAACCCATTTATGTTAGACAACCCATGTATGTTAATCAGACACCTCATGTATGTTAGTCAGACACCCCATGTATGTTAGTCAGACAACCCATGTATATTAGTCAGACAATCCACTACGTCTTGATTGATCTAGACAAAATGTGTCCAGAACCACATACCTCATGCGTTAAAGTTATTAATATATATTTGGTTTTACATGTGTATACACATACACATTTGTGCATGCGGTCAGGAAAACACTTAAACACACACACACACACACACACACATATATCTATATACGTATACATATGTATCATCAAGATATAGCAGATCCTTTGCAGAACGTCGCTCTCGTCACGATCGGCCTGCAAGAAATTCTTTCCCTTGCCAGCTTTCTCGCCTCGTGCACTTTCACATCCAAAAAGTCACTTATATCATCTGCCCATCTTCGTGTTAGTCGGCCCCTGCCTCTTTTTGATGGTACCATGTCTTTTGCGATTATTGTTTTACAATCCGCGATGTCGCTTGATATAGCCACATTATTTCAACAGACGACACCTGAGACTAGCCATCCTTGTTCGAAATGGTGTGGTGGCTTCAGAGGTAAACATGACTAGGTGGGACAGCGACGAGATACAAATACAGAGTTCAGTCCCAGCAATGTTTTGTGTTGGTGAATGTTTATGCCTGAAACGCGAGCGTGGACTTCCAGAGGTGGCGGTGTTTAAGTGAAATAATATCTCACGAGAGAAATGTTATTTTCTGTATGGGTTTCAATGCAAAAGGCAGATCATTGGGAAATATTTCACCCAACACACAGGTGGAGGAGCTCAAGGCCGTGCTTGAAACTGTTGACCTAGTTTGTATTAACAGTGGCAGTGTCACGAGTGTAGCAAGTAGACCAGGTGATGAAGACAGTGTAACGAGGGTAGCAAGTAGACCAGGTGATGAAGACAGTGTCAAGAGGGTATCAAGTAGACCATATGATGAAGACAGTGTCACGAGGGTAGCAAGTAGACCAGGTGATGAAGACAGTGTCACGAGGGTAGCAAGTAGACCAGGTGATGAAGACAGTGTCACGAGGGTAGCAAGTAGACCAGATGATGAAGACAGTGTCACGAGGGTAGCAAGTAGACCAGATGATAAAGACAGTGTCACGAGTGAAGCAAGTAGACCATATGAGGAAGACAGTGTCACGAGGGTAGCAAGTAGACCAGGTGATGAAGACAGTGTCACGAGTGTAGCAAGTAGACCAGGTGATGAAGACAGTGTCACGAGGGTAGCAAGTAGACCAGGTGATAAAGACAGTGTCACGAGTGTAGCAAGTAGACCAGATGATAAAGACAGTGTCACGAGGGTAGCAAGTAGACAAGGTGATGAAGACAGTGTCACGAGGGTAGCAAGTAGACCAGGTGATGAAGACAGTGTCACGAGTGTAGCAAGTAGATCAGGTGATGAAGACAGTGTCACGAGGGTAGCAAGTAGACCAGGTGATGAAGACAGTGTCACGAGGGTAGCAAGTAGACCATATGATGAAGACAGTGTCACGAGTGTAGCAAGTAGACCAGATGATAAAGACAGTGTCACGAGGATAGCAGGTAGACCAGGTGATGAATACAGTGTCACGCGGGTAGCAAGTAGACCAGGTGATGAATACAGTGTCACGAGGGTAGAAAGTAGAAGGTAGACCAGGTGATGAAGACAGTGTCACGCGGGTAGCAAGTAGACCAGGTGATGCAGACAGTGTCACGAGGGTAGAAGGTAGACCAGGTGATGCAGACAGTGTCACGAGGGTAGCAAGTAGACCAGGTGATGCAGACAGTGTCACGAGGGCAGAAGGTAGACCAGGTGATGAATACAGTGTCACGCGTGTAGCAAGTAGACCAGGTGATGCAGACAGTGTCACGAGGGTAGAAGGTAGACCATGTGATGAGGACTTTGTTATTGATCTGGCCATGGTTTCTCCTTCACTCACTTCAGTGTGTCAATGGTGTGTACTAGAGTACCATGGCAGCGACCACCACCCCTGTAGCATAGTGGTGGAGAAACGCAGATCGAAGAAATACAAGCCAAAGGTCAAGACATGTATGTATGACAGTAAAGGACAGGATATGCTTGGTGAAGAAAGGCGTGACGAGCGCAAAAATCAAAATGGCAAGAAGAAAAGCTGGGAGCAACACCCTTGGTGGAATTGTGAGGTGGAAAAAGCCTGGTAAATTAGCGTGGTGCTGTGAGAAGATGGCAAAATGCCAAACGCAACAGAGTCGCCCAACCTGGTCATATCTTGGGCCTGCAAAGAGACATAAAAGTCGGCTCCTTTAAAAAAACTGGTTACTGTGGTTAAACGCGAGAAGTGGGCAGAAGTGTTTCACGGAATAAGCAGAGATAGATCACTGAAGCTGTTCTGGCGACTACATGAAATTATGATCGGTGCCCACACAAATGAGAGCATTCCTGACTTCCAGTGCTCCGACCTTACCTGGCGGAGATCTGAAGAAAATAATGGAAAGGCAGCTATTTGAACACTTTCTGCAGTAGAGCAGCCAGACCGATATGCCAGGAAGCAGTTTTGCCAAAGCTATTACCTCTGATATGTGTAAGTTAGCAGACGTTTGCAGACGATGATGTAAGGACAGTGGATGAGATCAAGGCTGTGTTACGACGAACTAATAATAGTGCCCCAGGTCCAGATGGTATAAGATATGATGACAATAGTGGGTGTACTGAAGATGAGCTCAACAAGCTAGCAAATATACACAACAATAGTATTGTGAGTGCTAGTATCAGCGAAGAGTGGTTACACAGCTATCTGATACCCCGGCCAAAACCTGGCAAAGATCACACAACAATTCAGGCATATCTCATAATCACTATGCAAAATACTGTAGGCAAGCTGTTAGAAAAGGTATTCGCCAAAAAAATCTCACACCTGCTTGAGAGACGAGGTCTTCTTCCAAATACCCTTGGAGAGTACTGTCCAAAGTAAGAAACTTGGACCAATGCAGCGGTTTTTGCTCTTGATGTGTATGAGGGCTTCCACTCAGGTATTGGAACCTGTGCTGCCGCAATTGATCTCAAGGATGCGTACAACAGATTACCTTTGGATTTCCTAATGTTTCAAATTCTTGAACTCCAGATAAGTCCATTCCTGCTTCACTGGATCTCTTCCGCCCTCTTTCAACGAAAAGTGGTGTTCAGATGTGGCAGCTGGACCAACAACAATACATCCCGGCCTGCCACAAGGCCTGTGTTATTCAACGTTTGCACAGTGAGAATCATCATCACTTGTCGTTATGCCTAGTGGCACCGTTTGTGACTTGAAGTAGTTTAGTGTTTGAGATTGTATCTGGCCAGAAAATTTTGATAATTCTACGTAGACATGTGTGGTGGAAGCTGGACAGCTTGTGTACATCCTTTTTGGTTATGCTCCAGCATTCTACTCCATTAAAAAAATGACAAAATGATGCTCTTGTAGAGTCGGTTTTGTCATCCAGCAGACTTGTTTTTCCATCATAGGCTTCCTTTCGGCCTCACCCATGTTGTTCATGCTGATAGAGGGACTCTGTCCCAAGACCACCGGATGTTTAGAGCACTTATTTCCTCTTGAAGTTTCAGTAACGTTGTAGTTTTTTTTTTTTTTTTTTTTTAAACAGTTCAGAGCTGTCAACACTGCGCCAAACACCCGAACCTGGAGAACCGGGAGGCCATCTTTAGTCTTGCCCCTCACCAATGACCTGTCCGGCTTGGATGACACTGGCAGGAACATACGTTCCCGTCGGCATAGCTCACTAGATCATTGAGGCTCTCACCACTACAACTAATGGCCTCTGGGGGGAGACAGTAAGAATCACAGGCGAGTAAATCAAAGGACCCGGAAGAACACTGTCATATGCTGACGAATTGTTAGTGTATCGTCAGGGTAAGGATAGAGAGAATGTTGCTGAAGAACTACAAAAAGAGCTCAATCGCATAAGAACTTGGTGTGGTGAAGCTGGTGCTCTGGTAAACCCAACGAAGGCGGCATTGACATGGTTCTCTTTGAATAACCCTATTGTCAATATTCCAACACCAGCTGTTAGTCTGTGTTCTGAGGTTGTGGAAAAAACGAAAGCAATGAAATACCTGCGGATACATTTTGATCGAAGCCTTGCTTATACTGAGCAATTAGATCAAATTATAATGAAAGCCAAGCAGGGTTTGGCTGCGATGAGAGTAATGGCGGCGGCGACAAACTTTGAGAAGCGTCATCTATGTCTTCCATACCAGGTCTGGTCCTTTCTGTCGCGATGGCGATCCTGACTCTAAGCCATAAGCAGATGGAAAGGATACAGAACGAGGCTATGCGAATTACACTTGGGGTACAAAAGATACAGCATGAAGGGCTATGCGCTACCTTCTCGATTTTTCAACCATGGAAGAATACCAATTTCCCGAGCTCTTGCCTACCTCACAGTCAAGGCGGACACACAACATCCATTACATAGTCAAAACAAGATGATAAGAGGCAGCAGGTTAAAAAGAGTCAAATTGTGGAAGGGTAAAGCCGAAGGCATTATTTTTCAGGTATGTTCATTTGAGGATATAGAACCCGGCCAGGAGTGGTTGCAAGTGCCTTCAGAGTGCTGTACGTCTTTTTTTTTCTGTTTGCATCCAACTAGACAGAAAATACAGGCAACAGAGTCCGGCTGCTGTAGAAGCAGAAGTTCAAGCTGTGATTTTCAAGAGCGCTCTAGAGGGTGATGCTGTCATTTACACAGCTGGTTCTGTAATCCGTCACGTTAGAAGCTCGTGGGCTTTAACGGTTCAGTTTGGAGGGAAAGTTGTGGAGGAAGATTCTGGAGCTTTCACATTAACTACAAGTAGTATGACTATGGAGGTCATGGTTGTGATTAAAGCAGTAACATGGCTAGAGACACAGACTTTCACTGGAGTATGCTTTCTCAGTGACTCGATGAGTATGCTCAGGAAGATAGAGAAGGGTTGGGTCAGAAGGCAGTGGTTGGTGGCTCTACAGATTTCACGGCTGACAAGGATAAGTTTCATTTTCCTGCCAGGATATGCAGGGGTACAAGGAAATCAGCAAGTTGATACCTGGTGTCATTAGCCGAAACACGCTGCTTGATTTCCTGAGGAGGGGATCCGAGCACTTATGGACAGAGTGGTTCGATGTGCAATAAGGATTATCTGTCGATTAACTTACTAACTATCATTATTTCAGCTTTCGAGACAAAACGATGTTTATTAGCCAATCGTTCTTGCTCTGTTAAAATGTCGGTATCTCTTCTCTTCTTGGTCTCCGGTGTTCTGAGAATCTCCCTCTACGGCATTTCAGCTCAGCCCGTATTTTCTTTCTTGAGGAATATAGTCCACGACTCGATAGTCCGTATGTTGCTACATGAGAAATGCTTGCTTTAAACTGTGTGTGCGCGCAAGAGGGTGTGTGTGTGTGTGTCTACGAACGTAAACATATGTTGTCTGTTTTCTTCATGTAGAGAAATGTCTGAGTACAACACTTACCGTATCTGGCTTTCATGAGCCCGACAATAAAATTGTCTTCGTCTTGACTGTCGATTTGCACAATCCAGCCACCGGATTCATAGCAACTCCACTGACAAATGAAACAAGGATCGGAAATTCAAATTACTCAACTCTTTCGTTACCAAACTACTCATCGTGCGTTGGGTAATTACTCTATACATGTTATATATTTCCTAATCATTCCATTTGATCTGATGGATGTTTTATATCAACTGAGATCTGCCAACTTTTTTTTCTCCGTGAAACTTGACCTTGACTTCCAGGTCAAACCAGTCTTAAATGACTACCAGATAAAGTCCTGGGAAGTAAAGGTGGCGGGTGGATGTTGACCCCATCACCTGTCAAATATCGATTTGTCTGTAACAAATATGAATCTAGCCTCAACTTGATAGTAAAGGTAGGTTTTGATAACTGACTATTTTATTGAGATCGTTCAACATGAAAACAGAAGGAATACCAGTCACAGGGAGACATAGAAGAAGATAGGATGAAGAAATCAATGACAGCGTAAGACTTCAGGACATCACAATTTACCAAGTAACCGGGCGAGCCCTTGCTTGGTTATGGCCATCAGTTAGACAGCGGAAGAATACAGCGACCGACAAAAGCCGATTACATGATTGTTACTGCACAAAACACCCCATAGAGGCAGGCTTGATGAAAACAATTGTGTGTAGCTACATGAGCGAATGCGTGGATTTTTATCAAGATACGGGGCGTCGCGAGTCTACCGAGCCTAAAATGAGTAACATGATGCATGTCATGGGAAACCAAAGACTGCTGGCGTAATGCTGACCACATTACCCACCTAGTGCCGAATGTTCTGTAAAAATATGAGTGCTCTTCCAACATGCCCGACGCCCCTAAAGGCGTAAAAAAGGGATCTTTACCTTATTTTGCTTACATGACTAAATAGGGGCAGCGTTAGCGCAGTCGATATGAGACTAGCTTTCAAATCCAGCAGAGAGTCGCTGCAGCCCACGGCCGGTGTTCAAACGGGGGGGGGGGGGGTTTCCGGGGTTCACCCAGCCTCTAGGTAATGGGTACCATAGTTAACACTCTGGGGTAAATGGAGGAACGTCGCTGTAGCTACGGAGCTACGTGCAGACCGCTCTGCCACCAGTACGGACATTTTCTTATCAGCTGTCCGTACTGGTGGCAGAGCACTTATGGTTTAGAACCGTGTGCAATGACGCCGGTTCAGATCTCATGACTTTACCTTTACCGTTGAGTGTATTAGGTCTGTGAGAATCGTCCAGTCAACTGGTTAGAACACATGATCACATCCGGGGGAACACAGGTTCCAGTCAACCGTAATACCAACGATGGCTTTTTCGATTTAAAAAGAAACAAGAAATCAAAATAAAACTCTGAGGTGCTTATGTTTGGTCTTTCTCTGCGTCTAATCCACGACAAGTTTTTTTTTAAATCCTAACACAATCCTGTTGTCAGCTTCTAGAGATGTGTTTATGGACTATACCCTGTATGATCACTGACTGGGGTAATCACATCTTGTCAAGAGTTAATGTCTCTCAGGAAATATTGACTTTGAAAAAAAAAAATTCAATTTCCCAATGGTTAACTCATTGTTCTTATGTAAACAACGTAATTGCAGCTTCCATATACACGTGCGAAAAGATGCAAAATACAAGATACCCCGATTTTACGTCTGTCTTGACATCCCCATGGGCCTATGATGCTAAACCCCAGGGAATGAAAAAGAAATTATGTTGCTATTCAAATGTAAAATTTAAAATAAAAATGATAAAACGTGATGGATTACGGATAAATAAAATAAAACTGTAAACGACAGTTTGCATGAATGTAGGTTTACGAGGTCATCGTCATTGTCGTCTACTTCACGGTAGCGGTTAAGCATCATGATGGGAAACGATGCGATAGAAGAGAATTCGTTGTGGCATCTGCTCGTTTTAACGTTTACGCCAACCGAGCGCCCCCTCCCCCCCCCCCCCCCCCAAAAAAAAGTATAATACTGTCAGGGAGTTTAATATTTGTTTTCTTGCAATAGCCGAATCGTGCATTTGGTGCTGGACACACAATTTTATAAATAAAGTTGCCATCTTTACAGTCCAGAGCTACCCTCACACGTAAGATGAATTGTATAAACAACTGCTGATTCGAATCTAAGACAGTAAGATCAACAGTGAAGTGTCCAGACACTGACACTGCGATAGAGCGACTCTTTGCCAGGGTATTAGCAATACATTATCCATACCATAGCTTGCATCCAAATGATAGAGGTCTCGTTGAACAGATAACATGAATCCCCAAACTGGTCCCAGTTATTGCAGCCAGCGAGAACTAAAAGTAACACACAAAAGCAAAAGGCAATTATACACCTTAATAATGCATTGCACATGTAATAATCTGTGTCAGAGTACTGGGGTGAGAATATGTCAGATCGGACAATGTAACTGGCAGGAAAGAGAAGTAGAAAGGGATTTCCTCGAGTAACTACCATATACCCAGCTACATGAGCAACGCACTATATAACACACCACCACTCCTTCCACGGGAGCGGATCAATATTAGGCCGAGGGTCCCCAAACACTGGCACGTTCATGAAACGTTTTCAGACTGACCATAATTTTGTGCTAAATTTCATATTAGTCATTTGCCGGACCACTAAATAGAAAAGTAGGTAAATTGTAGTGTATATTGCACAAGTCACTTGTCAAATTTATTATTCACTCACATGTGCATGTATTTCTGGTTGAAGAATCGAATTTAGGTGTTACATTCTGCTGGGGAAGAATGGCCTCTGTGGGTTGACTGTGTATCATCTTCAGATGAGTTCAACGGGAAATATTTTAATTGCCAAAACCTAATCCAGTTGTGCACCACACTATTTTGTGTAATCTGTTGATTGGTAGGCTGGCAGGTGAAGTCGTTACTTTCAAATGTGGGGCTGACAGCAATCCTAGGTGCGTGTTCTCATTGCTTCTGCTTGTCTAAAGGTGCGTTTGTTCAAACACCAGCGCTTTTTTCAGCACATTTATAATATTTTATTGGTGTTTTGTGGATGTTACCTACTCTTCCCATGCAAATTCGCACACGGAAACTATTAGGACATCTATACATCTTTCTAATCGCCCAACATCTAAATATTTGTACCTTGTTTACAAACACTTGTGCTATTTGCTAAATATTACTCGCTGCTATATGTCCAAGATAGGTATTTATACTTCAAGGAATTATTTTTTTTTTTTTTTTTTGGAGTTGTCTATTGTTTTTGTGACTTTTGTAATAGACAAGAAGCTGCCTGAGATCAACATGAAGGTCGAGGTCTCTTGTTCTGGAGCTATAACTTACCCTGCTGAAATCTGACACCATATTTTACGTTACTACAAGTCATCCTTTAAATGGAAAGACATTTTCTGACGACGTTAGGCCTGGGTGTTCTTAAGAGGACTCTCCGCTACACAAGGTCAATGTAGTTATATAAACACTCTGGTTGCTTTTCGCTGGTTCAGAATCCCACTAACTTCATCATCAACTATTGTCTTCTATAGAGTTGATGGTCAATGACATCACTCAGAGGCGAGCCCTTATTTCTGTGCTCAACTCTATGTATATATTTAGGTACCTTTCCCTCTTTCCACCATAATAATAGTTTCTTCGTAGGTTAAACAGGGAATCTGTAACTGGCCTGCTGTTTTGCAATCACAACAAAATCCTTAAGTCTCACAGTATTAAACCTGCAGTCCGTGTTGGTCTCTCATCCTGAATGAGATCTTCTTACCTCGTGATGTCAAATTTTTCATTTAACAACGTGGAGGGGTTACTCGACACTCTAGCATGATGGAAGCGACGTTCTATGCATTCAACCACTACATGCGGATGAATAATTTTCTGTGCTCATAAACCTTGTCGTCATAAAAGGGAAATAGAAACATATGTGATCTGCACTGATAGTTAACTTAGCAAATATGTGATCTGCTTTGATAGATAACCTAGCAAATATGTGATTTGCTTTGATAGACAACCGAGCAAATATGTGATCTGCTTTGATAGATAACCTAGAAAATGTGTGATCGGCTTTGATAGATAACCTAGCAAATATGTGATCTGCTTTGATAGATAACCTAGCAAATATGTGATCTGCTTAAATAGATATCCTAACAAATATGTGATCTGCATTGATGTATACTTTAGCAAATATGTGATCTACATTGATAGATAACCTAGCAAATGTGTGGTCTGCTTTGATAGATAACCTAGCAATTGTGTGCTCTGCTTTGATAAATAACCTAGCAAATATGGGATCTGCTTTGATAGATAAGCCAGCAAATATGCGGTTTGATTATGTTGCCTTTCCTTTTCTGAGAAGCGTATCTACCAGATCCACTGATCAATGCCTACTATTCAATAATCCCCAGACCATAATGACTTAATAACATCAGATGCAAGATTAATTAAAGGAGTTACATGTAGAATAGTTCAGCAAAGGCAGCATTTCACCTAATGGAGAATCTTCTTCTTCTTCACTTCCTCTTTTACCGCTGTGGGTGTCGAAGGAGATATTCTGTCTCTAGCTCTTCTGGCCGCCTCGACCATAGGCACATCGTGCTGTTGTAGAGTTTCTCTGATGTTATCCCTCCATCTTGTTCTTGGTCTAACTCGTGCTCTACGTACTTCTTTTCTTTTTGTGTATGCTTTGTATGGTATGGTGTCACAGGGCATTCTCTCTAAGTGGGCAAACCATTTCACTTGCTGTCTTCGTATGTAATTTATAATTAGTTCTGTGCCGACTTTTTCTCATATGATCCCATTCCTGATCTTATCACTTATGATCACTCACACAGCCTTTTTCAGACATCTCATTTCCATGGTTACTAATTTTCTTTTATGGTTTGTTGTGAGTGACCATGTCTGGCACTGGTAGCACAGAGTTGGAATAAATATGCTTTGAATAAGATGTCTCTTTGTGCTGATTGGGATTGTCTTATGCTGTAAGAGGGCGGCTAGCTGTCCCAATACTTGGTTTGCTTTACTGCATCTAATGTTAATTTCTTTATCCAATTTCCCATCTTCGGTAAATGTAATTCCCAGATATTTAAACTCAGATGCCTGTTTAATGCCTTTGCACTCTATTGCAATATTTAGATCTGTCTTCTTTTTTCCTTTGACATTACTTCTGTCTTTTCAGTGTTGATTCTCATATTATTTGTTTTACATTCTTCATTCATGGATGTTAGATGTTGTTGCAATTTCATAGCTGTATCTGCTATCAAGGCCTGGTCATCTGCAAAGAGTAATTCGTTGATCTTACTAAGATCTTCATTCATGGGCTTGGCATTCTTGCATATACTGTCGCTGTAGGTGATAAACAGCAGTGGTGATAAGACACACCCCTGTCTTACTCCAGATGTCACTGTGAAAGGATGAGATGTTCCCTGATTTTTTCTAACTACACTTTTACAATCCATGTATACACTTTTGCACACTTCGATGAGGTGTTCGCTCACTCCATATCTTGCCATTATTTTCCATAATAATTGTCTGTCGACTCTGTCAAATGCCTTATCCTGGTCTACGAATGCCACAAATAAGTTCTTATTGTATTCAATGTTCTTTTCTATTAACTGTTTTAGTGTGAAGATTGCATCTGTGCAGCTTCTATTTCTCCTAAATCCCATCTGTTCTTCTGCCAGCTGTGGTTCTATCACTGGTCTCAGTCTTGTTACTATTATCTTGGCATACATTTTGCCAAATGGAGAATAATGTGTGCAAACTTTCTTAGTCGATTGAGACGAGAAAGGGAATTCTTTAAAGCTATATAAGCCCTATTTTTATATACACAGGTTAATCATGGGCAATTGTTAAAACAATGAACACTTACTTGGAAGCTGTGGAGATGTGGTTTCATAGACGAAGGATTAGAATACCCTGGACATACAAAAATAGTAACGAAGATTTCTTGAAAGAAACCCACTCACGTAAAGAACTGATTGCCCACATCAGAAAGCAAGAATCTACATATCCTTGGCTATGTTATGAGAAAGGTTACAACTGGAGTACCTCGTTAAAGTAGAAAATCTGGAGGAGAGGAGAGTCAGAGGGAGACCGAAACAAAAGATACTGGACTGTTTGACATCATGGATGATCTTTATCACAGGTGACTGAAAGTACACGAGACAGAAGGCTGTGGGTAGCCGTGACTACCAACACCACACAGCATGGACTGTAAGAGGAAGAAGAGGACTGATCTACTAATGCCTCCACATTGTTCACTCACTTCCAAAAGGCTTTGCCCACATCTGTCTCGTCATGCATAACTTCCCTACCAATTAAGGCAGGACCAGCCAGTCTGTAGGCCTGTTCATTTCACAACACGTCTAAATGCTCATTAGAAAGCTTTCAATGGCCACTAACTACCCTGGATTACTGAAGCGTTGATTGCCACTCTAGGTGGATCATGTTGGTCTCCACCTTAGTTAACATGATTTGTTTAGTGTTTACAACTACATGGCTGCTTCGTTATAATTTCTGCAAGGTTATTTTCGTATTGAAAAAATATTTTTTTTTTCAAACCAATCAACAGTAAAGGTTTATACGGCCAGAGTATTGCAATTTCTGTTCAAGATGCTGGTTACAAACACTTTCTTGATGAACTCTGTGGGATGTCTGTATTTCTGTCCTTGATCCATTGTATTCAAAGAATCGTTATGTAGCATTTCAAGTGTATGCCAAACAAGAACTAAATATATAAAGAACAGACAATAGTGACAAATAAATCTCACATACCAGACTGTAAAATCAACCCCGGGAAAAGGAGAACCCTCATCTAGAGGAGGCAAACAGAATAACAGCAAATTATTACATCATCTCTATCAATATACAGGTACTCTTTTCCCATGGCTAAATCTCCAGGCCTATGTGCTTTTATAGCCAATGGATCTTCAGTGACCCGAATCCACCTTCCTGGAGGTTAGCCTTTGTCTCGTCGTCTGAAAACTGCACCCTCCATCGCTTCTTTTTGTTGTCCATACCAATATAACCTTCAACATGGCTACAATACAACAGCACTTGATTCAAGATGCTGTATTGGAGCTCACATCGATGTTAAGATTTTGTAGCCCACGATGTTTTGAAACTACTTTTTTTTAAACACTTGGTGATCTAAGCGTTTATTGGTGTACATATCCTAAAATATGGTATCTTCTGTTCTGTATATATTGTTTTCTGTGTCGCGTTGATCGTCATTTTTGTCCACAGTCTTCAATTCTGATTATTAATAGTCTTCTCAGGAATTAATCTTGCCAAGAGCAAAAGTACACTGACTTCAAGTAGGACAGACGTTGAGAGAAACTTAGAGCAATATTACTAGAATATCTTTACAGGGGAACCCACAGAGTCGTAGAAATAAGTTACTTTGAAAATAAACTAAAAAAGGATCACGAAAAAAGAAGAAGAAGAAAAAAGTAGAAAAAGAAGAAGAAGGAGGAACAGGGAAAGGGGAAGAAGAAGAAGAAGAAGAAGAAGAAGAAGAAGAAGAAGAAGAAGAAGAAGAAGAAGAAGAAGAAGAAGAAGAAGAAGAAGGAAAAAAAACAATAACAAAACATGAAGATGAGGAGGAAGAGAAGTAGAAGAGCAACATCAAAAACAGCACAAACATGATTAACACAATAATAAATTTAACAAGCTAAAAAACAAGTAAAAGAAGTGAGAACCTACCATTATCAGTGAAGTACCCATGACAATATTTCAATTTCGCAGTTGACGCCGCCACGCTGGGACACTGTTGCAGTGCTGTCAATAATGTTGGCTATAGTCTGAACTATTTATAAAAGCTTGTTCCTTCCAACTAACGCACACGAAACCGACCTTTTATTTGCTATCGCTTGCATAGTTTATTGCCGGTTTTGTCGCGCTGAGCAAGCCGGGGTAGTTCACATCTATACCAGTTTCAAGTTTGCTAGATAATAATTGAAACTAATATTAACATTTGGTTATGGGACGATGTAAAATTAACCTTGGTTCCCAGGTCAAGGCAGCATACAATGGGTAACATTTGATATCTTAGGCAGCAAAGACAATCAGCAACATCTCATCTTTGAGATGTTCATCCGTTAGAAGTCAAGCCTGCTCGGTAAAAAAAAAAGAAAAAACCTACCAGTGGATTAATTTGCATATGAACCTAGTTATCGACCAATCAGTACTCGATGGGCGATGTGGTCGACATTAAGTCGACCATCTTATATCTCCCCCTCATTCTCTCCTGTCTCTCCCTTTCTCGCTATCTCTTTCTCTCTCTTTCTCCCTCTCTCCTCTCTCTGTCCCCTCTCTGAACTTTTCTCTCTCTCCCTTTTTCTTTTTTCTCTCCCTCTTTCTTTCTCTCTTTCTTTCTCTCTCTCTTTCTTTCTCTCTCTTTTTCTTTCTCTCTCTCCTATCCTCTTGCTCCCAATGAACGATGTGATACCCATATCGTATTGTGTCCAAGCTTGTAGCTTAGGTCAGTTTTGAAAAAAAAAAATTATAGCCACTCGGATTAGAACGCAACACATTAGAGCCAATACGCAGGCATTTAGCAACTTCTCTACATCAGTACAAAACGGAAGAGTGCACTGTCCAAAGACACTTACTGTAAGGGACGGGACACCCATATGTCTGCCCCTACAATACTGTCCCACTGTGTTGAAGGTAAGAGTGGTAATGGCCGTCTTTGGAGACACTACATGAGGTCAGGGATAAATGTATCCTTCTCTATCGCACACATATTGGGCAACATTGTAGAGACCATGTGATTTTGTCCAACATTAGTTTCCCAAACAAAGTAGATCAGTTTTCTTTGACACTCTAGTTGGGCTCGTCCACATTCGTAGAAGTTATGGGTGTGTCCCGCTCTCTTGTTTGTTTTCCTTGATGTCTTGCATTAACGTTTTCATTCTGACAAAAAGATTGTCTGTGACATAGGTTTCAGCACTCTATACGGGGGTTGTGTTAGACCCAGTGTCCATGTTTTTGGAGTGGTAAAAGCAATGTCGTGTTGAAATATAGAACACGCGATATAACGGTATTGTGGAAAACACCCGTCACTTTGTTGCAAGGTAATGTAACTCAAGGTCGACCAATCAGATGTGAGGCTGAAAGTGGACAAATCAGAAGTGAGCTAGTCTGTAAAAGTGAGAAAATGGGGAGACAAACGTTGAACTAAGCGACAATGTGTTGCCCATGCTTTGTTATCCGTCTGTCCGTCTGATTTGATGACTATAAAGAAAAATTAACACTAATACTATTTGAAAAAAGCAGGAATGGATATATAGAAAGCAAATGTATGTTGATAACGTATTCAAACAAATAGCCTAGGTCACGTAGGCTCGTTTGACGGCAGAGGTTTAAAAAAAAAAGTCAACTTTGGAAACAGCTGGTCTTGAATTAAACTAAATCAGTATGATGAATTAATCACCCGCATTTGGCTGGCTAATCATAAATTGTGTGATCAAATTTAATTCGGAAAGCTGTGTATATGAGGAATGTATGATGTGATCATTGTTTTGCAATTTAGAAATAGTTTTTTTGTATTCCTGTCCTGCATAATTTTCTATAACGAATCGTTGAACATTATTGATAAGGACTGAAAAGAGGGTAACATTTGTGAATCAGCAGTGCAAACCAATCATCATATAATGGGTGTTGCTTTAATTATTATTATTTTTTTTAAGGGTTCTGATTCTGATTGCTCGTCCTCTTGTTAAACAAAATGAGTTTTTTGTAGTTGTCTATGCTTTATCCTAACTGCACATTATCTATCAAAGTAAAAGTAAAGAACCCTTTTCCACGCCTTTTAGGCGCATAGTGTATATAGTTCTAGACCTACATTTTATAGACCAACTGCACAAAATAGGTGATATGGTCAGCATCACACGGGCCGCCTTTACTTCCCAGGACTGCACCTGGTACCCACTCAAGGCTGGGCTGACTAGGGAGCCAAGATCTCTCAAAGTAGTCAATCAAAAAATCATGTCAACAACAATGACTAATCATTCAAGTACCCCCAACAAATTTATTACTTGTCCTGCTATGACATGTTATCACCGACGACAACCTAGGCACTTTGGGTGTTTCCACGCGTGCTCAGTCCTCCGATATAGCAGCCTCTGTAGTGTACCACTACAGACCTTTCCCGTGACAATTT